GTATATCACCTTTCTTCGCCAACCATGGCTATACCCCATATATGGATTGCTTAGATGCCCCTGACGGGATTACCAATGAGCCAACTGCTAGGACATTCGTGGATCTTATCCGAGATATCCACAACCACCTGAGAACCAAGATCGCCTTCACCCACGACTGCCAACAGGAGTATGCCGATAAAGGATCATTCCCTGCCCATTACTTCCAGGTCGGGGACCGTGTTTGGTTGAATGCGAAGAATATCAGAACCAAACGGCCCTTCATGAAACTTGACGACAAACTCTTTGGCCCTTACCCTGTCCACGCCCCGATAGGAACCCACGCTTATCGGTTGGACCTTCCCCCTACCATGAAGGTCCATAATATGTTTCACGTTTCCCTCCTTGACCTCGTCTCGCACAACCCCCTCCCAGGCCAGAAAACACCACCGCTACCACTAGGGGAGGTTAACGGCGAACAAGAATGGCAAGTGGAGGAGGTCCTGGATACCAAGTTTGTCCGCAACCGCCTCCGGTACCTCATCAAATGGAGAGGGTATGCAGAGGCCACCTGGGAGCCTGCCGACTCTGTCAACGGACTCCAGGTCCTGGAATAGTTCCATGACCAATATCCCCATAAACCGGGACCCCTGCCCAAGTAACTCACCTCAGAGGACTTTGGCGTTGGAGAGGGGAGCTAGTATCACGGCCACCCGGCCCGGTATAGGCATGGAACATTGGACTTTTGCTTGCATATATTGGCTGAGGTTTCCTTGATTGAATAGTAGGATTTCCTTTGTTTCATGATCGGGATAGGTTGCCGTGCGACGGAGACTGGCGGAACCTGACAGAAGGATCGCGGCTGCATGCCATGCTAAGAGCTTTCTTTTGTATTCGTGATCATGGAGGATTTCCTATCTATATAAGGAGGTGTGCCCCCTTATATTTTATGTTCTTTACGCAATCTGGTAATCTCCTTCAGACATCTGTACCTAGGAATTACACTATCTTCTACCTCGTGTCCTCCTAAACCTCTGAACCCTGACCCTGAACCCCCTGATCCCTGAACCTCATGCAACTCGCTTTGGTTGTACCCCCATACCTAGACCTCATCTCTGAACTCTCGCTTGTCCTTGTTGTGGTGTGCCTTGGGCTACCCAACTCTCAGACCTTGTCCGGTATATACTGTATCATAAAAGTCCAATCTCCTAATGGCACTGTACAGTACCTGGTTTCATAGGAAGGCTCTGGTAAAGAGGAGACCTCTAGTGAGCCATATAAGAGATTTGACAGTATACACTTACTACAAGGTATGAATGATTTGTACCATGACCATCTGTATCTGCATAAACTAAGAGACCAGATACTTGTGGGTAAATGGGATCAGGAAAGTAACAGATAAGGTTAGCAGACCTGATAAGTCCTGAGGGAGTATGACTGATCTAACGATGCTCCATTGCAGATTTATGGCAACCTAAGTTGATATCCATGCAGGTAACCAAGGGGTCAAGTAGTAGACTAGCTTGGCATGCCAGAGCATGTCCAAGAGTTATCCAACAGTTAGCAGATGTCTAAGAACAGAGGGTACCGAAGGAATAGATGTACCTAAGTTGTAGTAGTAATATGATTATGTACCCTCTGGCCTGAGAATAGGTCGGAATACGGGGACAGTTTATCTTGTCTCAGAGACTCACAGGACTCTACCATGGAGACAAGTTTGGTGTCACAATAGATATCCATACCTTATCTTGGGACTCTATCACCCTACCTTCTGTTGAAAACATTCTCGGCGGCATTCATGGAACTGTCAGAATCCTTGGTCACACAACAAGTATCAATGATGACATGGTTGCACAGCAGTGGGAAGGGTCCAGGAGGAGCTACAGTACTTTGCCCATGTAGTGACTAGGCACAATTATTCCTAACTGGTACCTGTGGTCCTGGATTTGCCGCTGGTATCCTGGAACAAAACAGGTGAAGTTGGTATCTTTCTAGTTCATGGGTATGGCTGGGCAAGACATAAGCAGCAGAGATTTCCCAGATGCAAAGCAGGTGTAGCAAGGTAGGCAAGATACTAGGAGGACTTCCAGCAGTATTAGGATATATGGTGGAGGACACAGGAGATCTGGAGGGTAGCTGGTAGTATTAAGAGCATAAGAATACTGGGCAGCAGTGGTGTGGGTATTAGGATCCTAGGGGAGAAAGGTTATAGATGGTTCTACCTTGTGGAACCATGTTAGTAAGAGGTTACAACATAAGGGGGTTGGCGTGTGGCAGGTCTGGTATGTATAACGATGCGATGCAGGAGGGTGGAGATAGAACTGTCTGGATAAGATAATAGATTATGGTGATATCCTGGTTTACAGTTTGTATTCTACACATCTCCTGCATCTGACATACAGGATACACAGAATACTAGAGTAAATCTTAGCTAATGTACTTGAACCCATATTCTCCTACAATTACTATTATATATCTTGTACTAGTATTTCCTCTATCTTCCTCATTTTTAGTAACCCTTGTGATAAGAACCTACTCCTGTAGCTTGTCTATTCCCGAGAGCTGCAGGTATATTTATTTGAAGTATGCCAATGCCTCCCATACAGGACGATTGTCCCAGTATCTGTAAAGTCAGTTTCCCAATACCATTACAAATAGGGTTTAAAAGCACACTTACTGCTGCAATGTTGACAGCTATGACAGCCATAATTCTAGGGCATTCCATGGTAGGTAATCTGAAATAGGCATACCCTGAGCCCAATGCTTCTGAAGCCTTGTTGGAATCACTCCTGCCCCTGGAGGCATCTGGTAAGCCATGCAATAGTCCTGACCCAGTAGGTTAGTAGGAGATAATTAGTATTTGTTATGGGGCAGGGGGGGGCAGGTTTCGCACTCGGGGGCCCCACCATTAGACAGGCCCACCAGGGACATTTCATAGGTAGTCCCTGCCCTGCCCCTGTCCGCCGCCCGACCCCACTCGTTCCCTGGATAGGGCCCTGTTTCCAGCCTGTTAAGTAGACGGGGGGCCGTCAGAGGCATGGGCGGGACGGGGCCCTGGGTGGGTGACGGAGTGGTAATAGCCCGAAGAAATACCCTACCCCTGGCCACTGAGCAGGCCAGGGCTGGTAACGGGGCTGGGGACCTGGCTCTCTCAGTACCCCGGAGGCACCATAAGGAACTCTAGACCTAATGGAGAGCTTGGTCAAATGTTTTAGGTGTAATTATTAGGCAAGAAAAACAATACTGACTGTGTAACAGTAGTGGGAACTAGGGTTGAGTGAGCCGGGTATATTAGATTTAAACATACCCTACCAGGTGGCCTGACCATGGTTCTGATTGTGCATGTTATCAACTGACAGCTTCCCATATCTTAGTAGTAGTTGAGTGTAATTCTTCTGGTTGGAATACAACCAAGCCTTAGTATTCATTACGGGGCCTCCGGGGCCCCAAAAAAGCCAGGCCCCCGGCCCTGTTCCCTGCCCCAGCCCACTCACCGGCCCAGGGTGGAGTCTTTTTTCAGCCTTTCCCCACTCCGTCGCCCACTCAGGGCCCCCCCACTGCCCATGCCCCTGACTGCCTCCCATCGACTTTAGCAGGCGGGAAATAGGCCCCGTTCAGGGAAAGAGCAGGGTCGGGCCCCTGGTGGTGGCTGGGGGTTCTACCTTTAAAATGTCTCCCCTAGGCCCGCATAATGGCGGGGCCCCCATGTACGAAACCCGCCCTGCCGTACCCCATAACAAACACTATCAAACCTGCATCTAATCACCTATATTATATGACTGGTAGTGGAAATTGATTATACTATCAGTGGAACTCTATTGAACCGTAAATGCAAATACTGCATGTCTACCAAATGCAATATAGCTGTATGCAAGTGAACCTTTGCCGTCAAGACCCCTGCTCTACTGAAATTACCACATACAATTCTAGTGTTCCCGGGTTCTATAAGAATCTCCAGCTGGTATTGATAAATGTAAAACAATTCTGGTAAACTCGGTTTGACCCTTTGACCGATCCACAATTTGTCATATTTGCCTATTTTATAACCATATACTATCATTGCTCTTCCTTATTATCTACCAATGTCTTGAGGTTCTGATACACCACGCAAAATGCCACGACGAGGTCGTCCCGTGAAATACATATCCGACAAGACCAGGAGTGAGGCAAGGCAGGAGTCACAAAAGCGTTATAATAAGAAACGAACTCTCGCCCATCGTTTAAGTCAAGCTGTATAACCATTCCCTCTCCTTTGTGAACTTCTGTGTTATACTTTACATTCTCTGTTCTTGGACTAAATACCCTTGGCAAAGCAGATTAATCTTGACCTCGCGGATGAATCAATTGCCCAACAAACTAGAGAAGCCGGGTTGGGGGGTCTAGATACCCCTATGGCAGGTAAACGCTTCACATACTACAGATCGACCCTGTCCTATATTTCCTAGCCGGAAATACTAATCAGGAACAGATCACCCAACATTTCAGTTGAGCAGAGAAAACAGCCGTGGAGAACTGCCGATTATCGGAGAATCATATCTTGCCATCAGAGATGCTCCAGGGCATGCCGCTCATATAGGTACACCTTTTGGTGGGTTTGATAAGTCAAGTAACCTGTATCCTAAGTGGATCTGTAGCTTACATCTTGTACAAGTAGAGGTACCAGCAAGTAGCCCCGTAGGAGTACTGGAAACCCTGGTCCCGATGCCCAATACAGGTGCAATTTCAAAGGTCGATAGTCCCTTGACTACGGCACAATTACATGTATTCAAGCCGATACCCAGAATCAAGAAATATTTTAGGAAGATATTTTCAGGTACCAGTTCCTACCATCCATGTACGATGAGGTACTAATACAAGGATTCAGGATATTGCTACGACAAATGATCCAGGAGAGAATGTTTCGATTAGGATAGGTGAAGAGGGTACAGTCAGGGCGAGCGTCCCTGTCACTAGTGGCATGTTTGCTCCTTCATTTCTTCTATCAGAATTTGATCTACATACCTCACACACACTACCTTGTGATGCGAATCAATCAGCTAACATTTCCTTTAGACGGTCATACCTCGGAGGATATAGTTGCATCAGGAATACAACAACTGGAACCCCCCACGGGCGCGGAGGTCTGCGGCAACTACACTATTGTAGTCGATGATTCCAGTAGTTTCTTTTCGCTAGAGTTGCCAGCTGAGACTGATAGCGGGAGTTGTTACTCACCCAGTAATGCCTCCGCTCTTTCCTCCAGTAATTCCGAACACTCAGGATCATCGCAACCATGTGAGCCCGAATCGCCAGTACCTCCAGCTGGGACTCAGCATGATATTCTTGTGGAATATCTAGTATCCCTGCTCCAATGGAATTTGCCCCGCTGCTCTCATGCTATACCGGGAAAGGAGCCAGCCCATACTGAGCCAGTAGAGGACATGTCCGATGAAGGAGGTACTACATCAGCTGGTTATACAACTGTGAAGCCAGGATATAGCCAGTCACTTAAAGTGGCAATCGATACTTTACCAATGGTTCTGGCGGAGATGGAGTTTTTACGGGATGAGTCTTACAACATATCCACCTCCATTGCCAATACAGCCTATGCGGGAGTTTACCACAATGCCGGCAACCTCGAGTGTGAGGCCTTGTGTTTCACAACCGGAATGTCTTATCATAAATCTGTTGTTAGACCAACCAGGGCTTTTGATATTGATAGTATTCTCGCATTTCCCTCCAGTCTTGCTGTGGCCCGAAATGGTATAAGTGTATGCTTCACTCCTGGCCAGTACCGCAACATTGACTCCGACTTGCACATTGATGTTCCATTCCTAGGACACCGGAGTAATGGGCCAGGACCTCGACTCCCACAAACAATCGCAATCCGTAAGGTTCCTCATTTCCACTTAGGCCACTTGTATGGCCAGAACGACTATACCCTATATGTCTTATTTCTGAACTTAATTGACCCAACACGTAAATCAAACTTCCTTACTGGTTATGAGCTGGAAAGGTTCATGGACAACATTATGCTGCCGGCACTATATTCTTCATGTCCCGCATCACTTCTGCAGCATCTTCCAGGTAGTTTTGAACAAGCACACCTTGCAAGTAGTGTTGGTGTTACTGGGATGCCTGGAATTCCAAACTCCGGCAGTGAGTGGCGGAAACCATTTTTCTATACTATCCCATCTCGCTACCTTGCTTCCATATGGGATACGATATTACAGCTCGTATTAACACCAGGGCTGCATGATTATGGACAACCACAAATATTTATCAATGCCAAGAATCTAAAATTAGGATGTAGTGGAAGTGACCTTGAGGAACTTATTCCTCATTTTATGACATCTTGGAATCGCTCATGTGATATGAGTTTTCTTACGAAGGAGAATCTTTGGATCGATATTGGTAGCGAATTCGTCCATGATAAGGAGGCAACACAACAAGATAGGCATGACATAATGGGTGCACCCTCTGGACTCGAGAAGAGTTATTTTATGTTTTTTTGGCGCCAGTGCTGCTTGCAAGGTCTGGAGGCCTCCTTTAGAGACCTATACCTGGGGGACCATTACTGCAGTTCCTACTATACACAATGTCTCTCCCAGGAATTAGCCAATTTAACCATGGAGCCAGGAAAGCGACATCCTGCACGGGCGCATGGCTTTGCCTACTCACAATTTTACGCTACTAGCAAGGAGATCTTCGACTGCGGTAAAGTGTATCCCTTCGAAAACCCTGTCCTGGAGATTTTAGCTGTTGACCCCAAACTCCATGATATGTGGAACAATATTGCAAAACAGACACCATTCAATTTGAAGAAAATTGAAAGAGAATATGCAACTTCTAAGGCACGGGCCATGGCCGGGTTATCGGCTGCTGAGAATAAATCGTTCGGAGTACGCCAAGAGCACCGGATCACCTATGGACTTCTCTCTACCATCCTCACCCACTTGCGTAAACAGAGAATTCAACCCCCCGATTCCTTTCATTGTGGAACCCATACGAATATGTTCCCCGATAGCATCATCTTAATTCCCAGTCCTGAAATGGCTTTGTACTTTCTCAGTAACCTCAACAAATTTTGCTTTGGATTCGAATACACTTTGTGCGAGAGTCGGAAGCGTGGCCTTGACTGGGAAAATACACGGGTAATGATTATGTTTCTGCGGCTGATACGAATAGTGGTCAAGGGTGCAAACCTATCCCAATTTCCCGCCTTCATACGGTCCTTTCCCACCAATGCCGCTAGTGATCTCTCCAGAGCTGGTCTGGGCCTTGTGGACACTTTAACCACCCGTGGATATGCTTTCCTTCCTGCCAATGTAATAGACTGGAAAGTTCTGCGCTTCAATTCGGATACGGTTAACGGCGAACATTTTTCTATCCCATGGGTTAAGCGGCTGTATAAGTCCCGGTGGAGTGTAATACATCATACTACACGCTTATACGATCAAGTCAACCAGGTGTTAGAAAACCTTGCACGACATCCCGCCAATATTCGCCTGCGGATTACCACCTGCCTGGTTTTAAGTTGCGCTCTTATTGAATCGTTTCGGCAAGATGTTTGGGATGACTTGGAAAAGGACCAAATAGTAGTTTTATCTGCGGAGAATTCTTTGAGCCAGTCTTTCCCCCCTCTTTGTTTAACAACTCTACGCCAGGTCTACAAGCAGGATCTCACACGATTCAAGTTTGTGCAGGATTATAATCGCCATAGGTTGCACCCGTTTGATCGCGTTACATATTTGTGGGACTATGATGCAATACGGAACCGAACGGGATGGGAGGCAAAGCCATGGCGACGTATGTTTCACAATGTGTGTGAAAAACTTGCAGCACTTTATCCGGACCACCTAGTGTCACAACACTTCCGCGAGAATCAGTTTCTTCGATTTCTGCGACATAATTTAATTTTTCCACAACCGGTGAATGGAACCTTTCATTCCTATTGTCGGCAAAATCAAGGTATACGGCAGTGATCCTGGTACTGCGCATACAACATAGATAAGGCGTATCGATGGGAGACCAATGCCTGGCAGACGGGATCACCGAAGGCTGGGTACCACAATCCAGAGGTTCCACCACAACTCAAGTTTGGACTCCAGGATATCTCGGAATTACTGGACTGTGTAGAGGAAGCTGGTGTCTTGCATGACAAGTTGGAGGCAATAGGCCGTCAATAATTTTTGTTTTTATACTGGTAAGGAACTTTGAATATACATCCGGCATAATAGAAGCATGGTACTAACTAGAGTTGAATAGATTACGAAAACTCCGGATTTACCCACATGAAAAGTCTGCATCCACAACGACCGCCGATATGCACCTGGACCATATATTACCACCATTAACGGTACGAATTATGGTACAAATCATTTTTCACAGACTGTTGGAGTCACATGGGTATGGAAGGACGGTTGTAAGGCTTTACTGGGGGGACAAGAGATAGTAACAAAGGAGGAGACAAATTCAGTGGGGCTGCGGGAAAACATAAGGACTGGGTCAGTAAGATTTGGCTGTCCTTGCGGTTAAAGTTTCTGGTGTGCTAGCTTGTATGTGGCTCAAATGTTCCAATTGTCGGGAGTGTGAAGTTCAGTTTTTATATTTACCCAATGTGCCTATATCTTTGCTGTGCATATGCAAGTTAATTTAACAGGTGAGTATTTAATATTGACATTGTAGACAAGGTATTATACTGTAAGTTGTATGTCTATCCAGTCCTAAAGGACTCGTAGTTGTTATGTATTCAGGTAGTCCTTGATTCCCCAACAGCCTACCATGCCTCACCTCCAGTGACGAGACCCAAATTGTTGCTGACCTCGCTATGCATACATTTTTACTACAGATGTGACTCTGTCAGATTCTCATCCCCGTACCAAATCCACTCTTTTTTCCTACCACCTGGCCAGACCTTCCAATTTTATGGTGTATGAGTCTATTTAGGGTTTGTTATGAGTGGGTTGGGGTGGGCTTCGTATTTGGGGGCACTGCCGTTATACATGCCCCGGGGGGACATTTCAAAGATAGTTCCTGCCTGGTGCCCGTCCGGGGCCTGACCCCGCGTATTCTCTGGACACGGCCCGGTTTCCTGCCTGCAAAAGTAGACGTGGGGCCGTCAGGGGCATGGGCGGGGCGGGGCCCTGAGCCCGTGACAGGGTAGAGAAAGCCCGAGAAAACACCCTACTCCAGGCCGGTGAGCGGGCCCGGGCAGGGAATAGGGCCTGGGGCCTGGCTTTTTCGGGGCCCCGGAGGCCCTATATCAAACACTAAGTCCATTTATTGTCTTATTCTAAATTTTATTTCCCTTCCAGCAGTTCTGATTTTATGTTTAAATACCAACCCTAACTGCCTACTCTAGGATATAACCCCTAACTCTTTTGTCTAAACTTATAAACCAAACTATTAGTCTACAATTATATACATAAAACAGGATACTACGCTCTGTGTTACATATATTGCTTACTTACACACTACATACTAGTATATCCTGTCTACATAAGTTCAATTTTCATCAATCATATATACATTAATTATGTATCTATCAATAACATATATCAAAACTATATATATACAGATTACATGTACTGCAATCATCTGGTTACCACTATTAGTTATTTCCGATACAAATTGTTTTGAAAAGACAGACCTGTACATACAAATATTATAGTATAACTTGTTATCAGGAGTATTAGTAGATGTAATGACATATATGTATCTACTTTTCTACTATTTTTCACACTTTGATAGCCTACATCACCTATAGTTAGTAAGTACAGCCAAAGCTAACGGAGCAGATAGAATGTATTCATGAACATAATGAATCTATATACTAAAGTACTTATACCATTCTACTAGCAATTCAAGTATCAAAAGACATATTGTACCTCTTCTCTTATCACCCCAACTGTAATGTGGCCTACAGTTATCATGACTATTAATATACCTAACTACCAGTATCTTGATATGGCAGACTGTAAAGGAGAAGGGATAACTATTATAATGTAGAACAGTAGTGGTTTAGTATAACTCAAACCCACATATGAAAAGACCTGCCTACAATGAATGTAGTGGAATCTTGAAATGTAATCTCTTACAACTCTTGGAACATCAGGAAAAAAAGAATTCTGGGTCTAATGCGTGGGCAGCAAGTCTGGACTGGGAGTTTCATTTTTTGCGTCGCCTGCATTCCATGCATCGTGGTTCTGATGGCAATGGCCTACCCTTGCCCATGCTCAGCGCTTCCAGCCTTGACGCCCCCCTATATCTCCTGCATATGATCACCACTCTCCTGGCATGCTTACCTCTGGTACTCTCTGGCCCCACTGTTCAATATCAGGATGATATCCCTACATTGCTACAGCAAAACTATCACACTAAGCACAGAGCTTACTGCCTTGCATCTGCCTCACCACTAGATGCTCTGCCCTGCCCTACATCCTCAGAATTCCTGCCAGGGACTGCCCTCTGTCACTGCGATATTTAGATGATGTGAATCCAGGGCCAGGAACAGAGTTAAGAGGATCTAACACAATAGGAAAGCTTGTTCCCGGCCGGAAACATATTGCCAGAATCCAGCATACAGCACAAGCTCATTCCCAGGCGGGAACTGCTGGAGAGCATCATAGCCAGTGCACGAGTTTTGTTCCCGGCCAGGAACAGAATTTAGAGGATCTACTACAATAGGTAAGCTTGTTTCTGGCCGTGAACATTGTGCTAGAATCCAGCATACAGCACAAGCTCATTCCTGGCCGGGAACTTCTGGAGAGCATCGTACCTACTACACGAGTTTTGTTCCCGGCCAGGAACAGAGTTAAGAGGATCTACCAGAAGAGGTAAGCTTGTTCCTGGCGTGGAACACATTGCTAGAATCGAGCATGCAGCGCAAGTTTATTCCCGGGCGGGAACTGCTGGAGAGCAACACACCTACTGCACGAGTTTTGTTCCCAGCCGGGAACAGAGTTAAGAGGATCTACCACAATAGGCAAGCTTGTTCCTGGCTGTAACGACCCTACGTTATGGAGCTATGGCAACCTACGTCTACGCCCATACATAAGGCCAAGAGGCTATATGGTAGACTAGGAGGGCATGTCTGAGCATGTTCCAGGAGAGACCCGATGGTCCGGGTATCCCGAAGAACAGAAGGTACTTAAGAAATAGGTGTACCTAAGTAGTGGAAGTGACGTGACCACATCGGTTCCGGCCTAAGGATAGGTTGGAAGGCCGTGTGAGTTTACGCTGTCTAGGGAAATCACGTTACCCTGCCATGGAGACCAATTTGGTGTCACCATGGACATACTTAGCCTACCTTTGGGACACTATTACCCTACCTTCCGTCGGAAACATTTTCGGAAAGATTCCGTGTAATGTTAGGATTGTTTGTTACGCAATGACGAGCGACGGGCACTTGCTTGTATATTGATCGGAAGACTACGGGAGGAGCTAGAGTGCTCCGAACATGCTGTAACTTGACAGAATTATTCCTAACAGGTACCTGCGGCCCCAGGGGTCGCCCCGGGCGTCGTGGGCCAAAGTGGGTGGAGTTGCCGTTATGCTAGTTAAACGGAATCTATGAAGACATGTCCATAACACTGTATGCGTCGTCGCCGTCCGTCCGACCGGAAGCTGTTCGCAGGATATATAAGGGGGCCAAGGTGAGAAGGTCAGGTACCTTCTCCAAAAGGAACGGAGTAAAACGGATCAAAACTGACGGAGTTAGCGTGAGCTATCCGGAAGGGTCCCCAGAGTAGTCCCGGGTAGTGCCAGAGACATCTGGGAAGGTTTTACGCCAATCAAGCCTACACGTGCCCCTTTGCCGTAGGCTCTTTATGGGTTGTTGGGAGACTCTAATAGCATGATACTTATCACGCTGAGTGGTGTGCCGAAGGTAAGGGACCATGGGTAGCGCCCACGGGTCCCGCCACCGACACACCTCTACGTGGGAGCGCCGTAGACCCCATAAGTTCGCAAGACAAGTAAGATAGAACTTAACCGGAGGACACCTGATGTCTACGGGTGCTTGCATAGTTCATAGCACATGGGAAGAGAGTCATTTAGTTAGCTTTCCTAGGAGTCTCGACAGTTAGCCACTGACGAGACACCGATGCGCAGAGGTTTTCACTCCGGCAGGTGTATTGGTAAACACCTCGCAGGAACCAATGTGCATATGAGAGATTTCTGCTAGAGTGCGCTGACACCTTAGGCCCTTCGGGGATGCGGTAATGGTGCCGGCAACCCTTACGGAGAAGGGCATACTCATGTTGGTTGGGGCAACCTGATGGGGGAGTTTCTGGTATAAGTCTGACTACTTGAAGCTTATACGAGAACTCTCCTGCCCTGACAGAATCAACATCCTCTCGAGAGACTTTAATTGAGATAAGCCAGAGCTTAACGATATTAAGTTTTACCGTTTACTTTTATTCTTTACACTTTACAAGAGTTGTGTTCGAGAGATTCGAAGTTTGGTGCGGTTGCATCCTTAGGAACCATCTACCTGAGGGAGCCCCCGTTACAGTATATCGTTAAGCGAGCCTCTCGCTTAACTCTCCTCCTGATATAATTGATTTGAACCGACGAGACGAGATCATGTCTGCTTTGGCAGTCACGATGGAAGAAGAGTCGTCGAGTTCCGAAAGTAGTTTTGGCATTGACGATGATCCTCTCAAAGCAGCTATTTTTAGGGCCTCTATTATCGCCGACGTGAAGGGCATCGGAGGTACAAGCGCAAAGATGCTTCTTGCAGCAGCCCCGATCGAAGTCCGCGAACATTGTCGCGATTTAGTACTTCATGACGCGCGCCTCGCCGCGTTATCCTTCACGAATGATATTCCCTTCGCTCAAGGAGTGGCGGAGGGGTACGATCATCAAGAAGAAGAAAATGAGACCTGTGGACCTCCTACGATCTCTGTCGCGGAATTTTCTCGCAATTACGTCGAACCCTCCATCCTCCGAGAAGTGACCCGTGAGGTCACAAGTGCACGGAAGGAACTGTTGCATTGGAACAAAGGGCAACAGAAGGTGTTTAGAAAGGAAATCATAGGAAAATCGGTGGCGTGGATGAAAAGGCAACAAGATGCCTTTGTAGCAATGCTGAACAACCAGCTTGCAATGAAGATACGGATGGACGCGTTGGAAAAGGCTTGGAATGAGGGATACAACATCGATGAGGATAATGATGTGTTGATGA